TGCAACCTATATTGAAGAAGACATTTCTTTTTAGGTTATATAGAGCAATAGGATGGTAACACACAAATGGTTTGTGCACTTCAGTGCAAGTTGAATTGAAGTGCACAACCAACCTCGGCTGTAGATGGAGCAGCTCTTGAATGTTTTGGCACTAGGAACGGGTAAAGGGACGGACAAGTAATTTCACTCCTTCTGGATTTACAGGTGTTGGGCCCAGCTGCACAAAAGATTCTTCTCTGGTCCAGAACGACAAGCTGGGCCTAACATATATTTTTAACACAGCCCAGAGCCCCCTCCGTTCTTACTTGCTCTCGCCGCCGCCGGCTCCAATCTCGCGCAGCTTGTCTTGTGTTTCTCCTCCACCACGCTTCTCCTAGAATCGGTTTGCAGGCGCGAACTTGCGATCTGAATATGGGATTTCCGAGATTCGGTCCTGCAAAAGGAGTGGATGCTGATGTTAGTCCCAATCTTTATGTGGCCAACTGTGGTCCAGCTGTGGGACTTTCTCATGACACCATCGCCGTCGTGTTCGGCGCCTTCGGAGAAGTTAAAGGAGTGTATGCCGCCGATGAGAGTGGTGCTCGTGTCGTTGTTTCTTTTGCTGAACCAAGTTCGGCTCAATCTGCATTCACAGCGTTGGATGGGCAGCCTTGTCATGATCTTGGAGGCCGTTCTTTGCACATTCGTTATTCCATGCTTCAACCACCATCTCCTAAGGTGCCAAATTTTCTATCTTTATTACACTATGAATACATGGTATCATGTCTTAGTTCATATTCAGTCATCATAGCTGGTTTCAGACTGATTATGTATAAGCTGATGGTTTGATGAAATGAGGTTTTGTTGCATGATTTCTTTTTACCAATGCTTTGACATGTTGAACTCAGGTCAATGACAGCATTCCAGTGGCGCTGGTTGCTTCAGATTTAAACATTCCTGGGCTTTACTTGTTACATGATTTTGTTAGTGCTAAAGAAGAAGAGGTAGAAGATTATACCGATGTTTAGTTCATGTTTTTTTCAGTTATTATCTGCTTTTGAATTTAGTAAGTGGTTGAAAACCATTTTTAGTTTGTTGTGTTTACTTTATCTCTGAGGTCTTTTCAGCATGTCTTCAGGAATTGCTCGCAGAAGTTGATAATAGGCCTTGGAAAAGCCTTGCAAAAAGGAGGGTTCAACATTATGGATATGAATTTCATTATGAGGTAAGTTCAAATTGAATTGCAGGATTTTGAAGGTAAATAAGGTCCCCTAAATGTTCCTTTTGACCCTGTTCACATAGCAGACTAGAAATGTTGACACTAGACAGCACTTGGGTGCACTTCCGTCTTTCGTTTCTTCTGTGCTTGAGAGGATCTCACTGTTTTCAGATATTAAGGATTCTTCAAGTTTAGTGTTGGACCAATTGACGGTGTGTAGAAAATATTGTCCTTTTCTCTTCTCTCTTTCTGTTCTTTCTTTGTGATTGGCTGCTGTTAAGCTTGTTGTATTGACTCCTTACTTCTTACAGGTCAATGAGTATCCACCTGGTGTGGGCCTCTCTCCGCACATAGATACACACTCAGCATTTGAAGGATTCATTTTCAGCCTTTCATTAGCAGGGCCTTGCATCATGGAGTTTAGGAGATATTCAGAGAGTGCCTGTTATCCTAAAACTGCCTTAGTGACTGATATGAATGAGGAAAGCCCTGAAAATGGCAAGCTGTCAAGGAAGGCTATCTACCTTCCTCCTCGCTCTATGCTCCTTCTCTCTGGGGAGGCACGATATGCATGGCATCATTACATTCCACACCATAAGGTATATCTTATGGTTGATCAGTTGCCAAGACTCATATACCAAAAGTTTCTCTTTAAAGGGATCAGACAATTCCATTCAACTTATATAGTGAACAAACGTGCCTACCCTCCTCTATAAGTGGCGTTGCCTGATGTTCATAATCTTTTGAAAAGAAACTATAACACAACTTCGAACAATTTTCTGCAGGCTTTTTTTCTTTTTTTCTTTCTTTTTTTTTTTTTTTTCCTAAATAATGGTCTCATAATATTTTGAAATCAATCACTTTTTGGACTGTTGTTTGGTGATGTCATACTCAACATCCCTCTTGTATTGCTTTATCATAATCTTTTGTTCATTCTTATTAATTTTGTATTGATCAGCATCTATAGTATCTTTTAATGGCACTATTAATTTAACCCTAATGTGAATGGATTGGCCAAAAGAAAGAGAGAAGAAACTCTGATCTTCATGCTGAATGACTATACTTTAGCCTTGTTTTTGTCTTTTTATTATCCTTTAAATTGAAATTCATGAATACTTAATTTACAGGTTGACAAGGTCAATGACAGCATAGTCAGAAGAGGCTCACGAAGAGTGTCTTTCACACTTCGCAAGGTGTGTGGCTTTGCAGGTTTCCACTTTTCATATATATATTTTTTGTCCGTATCACTTTAACTATGGGGAGTTTAATAATTCAAGCTCTTCAGATGATGCTTGGCCATTAAAACTATAATAGCAAGAGCATTATGAAGTATATGATTGGTTGGTCATGTTTTTGGCATTTGGAGATATTAAGATATAAGTCAGCAAAATTGAAGAAGAAACACTAGCTATCTCATTCCTTTTGTGGCAGAAAATGAGGTTCCAAATCCTGTCTCATCTTAGTATTTTTCTCTTCTTCTTAAGCAGTATGACTCTTGGAGAAAACAGGAAAAAAGAAACTTTTTGATAGATACTTTTGTATTTTTGCAGATATAATGAACATTAGTACTAATTTTTCAACACACTACATTCCCCCATGTTACTTGTTGTGGGGGAATATCATTATGCTTGGATCCTCAAGTAATGCTTTAAAGGTTTCATCTTAAATTCCTTAGTTTATATTCTTTTGATAGGATTCAAGATTTATTGAATACCAGAATATCAATTAAACTTGGAGATTTGGTACATTTTGGACTTGAAAGGTTGTCCAAAGAATATCCCTAGAGCAACACCATGAAAAAGTTCTCCAACAAGTTTTGGCGTAACTTGCAGGATGTCTAAATCATTAAATATAGATTCCATGATGGAAATGCTAGAGACTAAACGCAGTGGTATCTAATTTGCGTGATCCATAAAAGGCGATGATAAACACCCATGTTTTATTGCATAGAAGCATCATGTTTTGATAATTGTTTTTGAACCCATTTTAATTTACAAAAGTTGAAAAGAGAGAGAGAGAGAGAGAGAAGTCTTCTTTCACATGGTAAAACAAAAAGATTCGTATTTACGTTTTTACTAACTCAATCATTGACCAATTCTGGTTATTTGGACAAACAATTGAAAATGCTTTTCTTCTCTTGCAGGTGAGAACAAGCCCTTGTCAGTGTGAATTCGCCCAGTACTGTGATTCTAAAAGATAGGACTGGTCTATGTCAATTAAAATGGAAACTGCAAATCAACACTCAGGTCCCTTGTATGCTGGCTGGGTGAGAGTTAAACCTTGCCAATCTAAACTTCTCCAGTGATATTGTTTCATAGAGATAAGAGGACTTGGGACTGGCTCTATTAGGACCCAAGCCGAGGCTGCCATTACAAATGAAATTTTTGACATTCAAAGGTAATTATAATCAGAACTTTTTAAGAGTTATTCTAGATTTCTAGGAGTTTAATCCTTGGGAAAGATATGAACAAAAAAAAAAACGTACTGTTCACCAAATTTTCTGACAGACTGAACATAGCTTGCATACTGGTGAGAAGACAGGAGATGGAAATTAGGGCTACGAAAAATAGCTGTACCTAAAGACTTCCCATTATTAAGTGAGAAAAAGTGTCCTAACAACAACAAAAAGTAGAAATTACTATTTTATTATCATTTTGTGTAATTGCATACCTCTCAAGTTTCCTTTTATAGCCGAGATAACATCTGGCTGGCTTTGCCCTGAATTACTCCAACTTTTCCTGTTAGGTCTTAGGAGCAACTGTCAGGATCATCTAAGCTTAACCGGAATGATGACATAAGAAAGCACAAATTAAAGGGGAAAAAAAAGGGGATAAAAATGAA